AATATTCAAGCTGTTTATTCATTTTTCCACCCATGAACGAAAAACGAAAATTTAAGTTGAATTCTCGTTTTTTGGAAAAAAATAAAAAAAACGAAAAAGGAGCCGTTTTCTAATTTTTCTACTTTCAATATTAAATAAAAAAAACGAATGATCAAATGATACACGGATTCTAAAGGTTTTCTGTTTTTTTTTCTTTCATAGTTTGATTTTGGTCAATTATATTGAATCCCATTAGATTCAGTTTGACCCACAACAAAATTATACCAAGAATTTGAACATAATATGGTTATCATCAATAACACTTGTACTGCAATGAACAGCCATTCATTTGAGTGCATTATGAGCATGAGTGTGACCTGCTGGAACTGTGGAGAGGTCAGTGTGTTCTGGATCTCTTCGGCGCTCTGCGGGAGCGACTCTCCTGACGGCAGGTACGGCAGCAGTCTCTGCTGCACTTCAGAGTTAGCCAGAATAGGAGCCATGACATCAGGGGTCAACACACTCGCCAAGTCCACTACAGAGGAGCAATGCACAACGTATTAGAGAATGGGAAAACTGGGCAAAGATCACATCAAAGGAAAGGAAAGGACATGACGTGTGGCCAAGTATGGTGTCCCATACTTGAATTTGTGCTCTGCATTTAACCCATCCAAGTGCACACATACAGCAGTGAGTAGTGAACAAACACGCACACACACACACCATGAGCACACACCCGGAGCAGTGAGCAGCCAATGCTGCGGTGCCCGGGGAGCAGTTGGGGGTTCGGTGCCTTGCTCAAGGGTCTCACCTCAGTCGTGGTATTGAGGGTGGAAGAGAGCGCTGTACATTCACTCCCCCCACCTACAATCCCTGCCGGCCCTGAGACTCGAACCCGCGACCTTCAGGTTACAAGTCCGACTCTCTAACCATTAGGACATGACTGCACTAATGAAAGGTACGTCAGTTGTCAGAGTCTCACCTCCCGGCCCCTCTGCGGCCATGGCAGGCACGTTCATGGTGGCCAGGATGCTCTGGAGGTCACTCAGCTGGATGGGCTGCGTGCTGGAGGGGGGTCCCGCAGGCATGGAGGGAGTCTGGGCAGCAGGGGTGGTGGGGGTCACCGTGGGCGAGCTGGTGGAGGTAGCAGCAGGGGTGACGGGTGTGGTGGGTGCCTGGGTGGAGCTGAGACGGGCGGCCGATCCAGAGGAGGGAGTGGCTGCTGCCGATTGGCTGCGGGAGCTGTGTATACAGGAGAGGGATAATAAATAAAATCAGTAAGATGTGTGAACACAGCGCCAGAAATAAGTATGGAGAAATCAAAAGATGTACCTCGAGGTTGAGCTGCTTATTACCCAGGAGGCTTTGCAGACCACCTTCTCCTTATAGAAAATTACATGTACAAAAGGGAAATTCACTTAGTACTCTTCTTGACAAAGAGCCTGTCCCAAAACCGACACTTGCAGTCACTGAACTTGACCACTTGTCGACTTACAAGTGTGCATAGAACAGATAACCTGATGGAACACACTTACAAAACAGTGTTGTAAAAACAATTAAAAACCAAGTAACAATTTTTAAACAGCACATTTTGATTTTCAATACTTTAAAGTAAACTTCTCAATGCCTGTTTGGTAGTTCTTATGCAACAGACAGCAGTTTAGTAACGGTGGAGCTTCTAATTAAGTGATAAAAAAAAAAAAAGCAGTTGCAAATCTTTTACAAAATCCACAATCATATCTGCACCAATACAACATGTAACTTTTTACAATTTACTACCAAATTATATGTAATATCTAATTTAATGTAGTTTTTCTACAAATCTCAGGGCACATCCTGAACAGTTCCTGAACCTAATGATGGGATACGTTCGCCTCAAATACACCTGAAGCACTGTCACAGACTGTGGATTTAGTGTGAGCTTTGGTGTTTTCAGATCTTGGATAGTCTTGTGCAGTTTGAACGACTTCAAATAAATATAATTATTAAATGTAAATAAATAAACTACCACCCTCCTTAAAGGGATAGTTCACCCAAAAATGAAAATTCTGTCATTAATTACTCACCCTCATGTTGTTCCAAACCCGTAAGACCTTTGTTCATCTTCGGAACACAAATTAAGATATTTTTGATGGAATCCGAGAGCTCCCAGACCCTCCCATAGACAGCAATGATCCTTACACGATCAAGGCTCAGAAACGTAGCAAGGAGATCGTTAAAATAATCCATGTGACATCAGTGGTTCAACTGTAATTTTACAAAGCTACGAGAATACTTTTTGTGTGCAAAGATAACAAAAATAACGACTTTATTCAACAATTCGTCTCCTCAGCGTCACCCTATAGCACCATTTTGGAGAGTATCCACTGAATGTAAACAACGTATGCAGCACCATGCGGAAACGTTGTTTACGTTCAGATCAAAGCGTAAACAACGTATCCATGTGGTGCTGCTGACACAGAACAGCATTCGTTGTTTACGTTCAGTGGATACTCTCCAAAATGGTGCTATAGGGTGACGCGGAGGAGACGAATTGTTGAATAAAGTCGGTTTTTTTTTTCTTTGTGCACAAAATGTATTCTCGTAGCTTAGTAAAATTACGGTTGAACCATTGATGTCACATGGATTATTTTAACGATCTCCTTGCTACGTTTCCGAGCCTTGATCGTGGTAATTACATTGCTGTCTATGGGAGGGTCTGGGAGCTCTCGGATTTCATCAAAAATATCTTAATTTGTGTTCCGAAGATGAACGAAGGTCTTACGGGTTTCGGAACAACATGAGGGGGAGTAATTAATGACAGAATTTTAATTTTTGGGTGAACTATTCCTTTAAATACCTTCAAATATTTCTTAAGTTAAATTAAACATTGAAAATGAGAGTGACTTAAGTTTTTTAGTATCCAACTATATCTAAAAAAGAAATGTATTCAGCACAGGTGTGTTT